TAAAATTTCCAAGCACTACTTAATAGGATGAGGAACATAGTCATTAAAAATCTGTTTGATGTTGGAATGCATCACCACGGAGGAAGAGAACAACCGATAGAAACTCTCGTGTTTTGTTTCCCGGAACCAAATAGCAGATGGGACCAACAGGCTGTGGCTATCTACCACGACAGGAGTATGTCACACAAAGCTGCATACTTAAGGAGGTCAGAAGCTGCTGTTGTGTTTGAACTGTTTCAGAAAGGCGTTATGAATGGTCACTGTTATCTAAAGGCTAAGGAGCCTGTTGAAAAAATATTGAAGAGATCGGAACCACAGCAGAAGATTAACATTGGATTTAAATGGAAAAATGAAAAAAAAGAAATCATTAAAACTCATTTGCAGGGTCTTCCTTATGTTTTAAACATTTTCTAATAAAATATCTGTAACTTTTTATCATTTTTCTCCTCCTCATATAAGAAGATGGGCGAACAAGCCAAGAAAAATGCTTTTGGTTCGATAAATAAGTGAACAATTAAATCTCGTTAATCTCACGAGTGTTAAAATTAATCGTTTACATAAAATAGCATAAACATACCAAAGATGGCCAAAAAAAAAAATTCTTCATACTATAACATCTTTTTTTTTCTATATAAAAGGGTCTTTGCTCCATTTCTTCAAATTATGTTTCAAAATAAGCATTTTTTGCGTAATAAAACACAAAGGAAGGACTACTCTACCTTAAAAAATACATATTTTGGCACAAAGTACGTGTCTTTCTGTAAAATATTTGAAGTATATTTATTGAAGGGTTATATAACAAACAAGATTAACATGCTTCTACCTGTCATGAGATATATGGTGAAGAGGTTGGCGTGTCAGCATCTTAAGAAAAACATACTCAGGGATTTTATCGCTATTTTTGATAGAATTTTTCCACAAATTTTTTGGTCATTCTGTTAGATATTACAAATTTAAGAAGAGGGCTAGTCCATCAATGTAACTCAATAACGTGCGGATCAGTAAGAAAAAACATAATATGTACTCCATCCAATTTAAAGGAATAATTTATGTAAATCAATGTAAATAATAATTATACATTGTCTTTTATTGTACATACGGGAATTAACAGCTGCAACTATTACAGAAAAACTACATAACCCGCCTATGCGGGCTATGCATTTTTCCGCAATGGTTGCAACCGTAAATTTACAAAAAATTGATAATAAACTTTGAACCCTTAGGTGATTTAATTGAGAATCTTGTAATCCACGGCTGATCAATATGTTCTACGCAAGACGGTTGAATGTTTGTTAAACACAATCATATTGTAATTTTATTGCAGATGTCCAAAATGCTATCGGTTTAAAGTAAGAAAAAAGAACAAGACCTGTGTACAGGAACTGGACAGAAGAGGCAATGTCGGCAGCCGTTGCCGATGTTCAGCAGAACGGAATGTCAATTCGGAAAGCCGCCGCGAAGTATTCGGTTCCACCGACAACTTTAAATAACCGTACTACTGGAAAAATTCAGGAAGGGGAAGTTGGGGTGATGCCCTTTATTGTTACAGTTTAAAGACATTTATCAGGCAACGTCATTTACGTGAGGGATTTGCAACAGCTGTTTCGACGTCAAAAGACATTTTAGTTTGTCGTTGAACACCAGTGCATCCAACAACGATAAGACGGATGTTTATTTTCTAAAGAGAGAAAAGAAAATCCTTATAATTTGCTAAGATTAATTTGTTACTAGTATATTATTTTCTTATTATAAATATTTTATGTAGATATTTTAAATAAGTCTATTCTCTGATCACTTGAAAATACTCGTTAATTCTTATATTAAGTATTTTTTATTGACTGAACTTCGGTATGATTTTATTCAGGAGAGGGGGTGGCAATGTGGTGGGCAATGAAAATTCTATCTTTTCATTGGGATTTAATTTTGTGGATAAATATGTTGACAAAGTGGTTGTTCTTTGGGATTTAAATTCGTAAGGGTCACCGCTGTGAGACATAAAAAATGATGCCACAGTATTTCACTAACCGCTTTTGTACCACCGCCAACAACATTATGTTAATATTAATTTAAGTTATGTATGGAAAAGAGGAATGTTGTCCTCTAACTTTTAAGGTATAGTATTCTTCTTGAATCGAAACCTTATTTTTGTGAAAAACACAGGGCCAAATATGATGGTTCTTGGCTCTAGCTCTTTATTTTGGAATTGTTTTTAATGAATAATTAGTATTTGTCATATTTTGTAGTAATCCAAAAAACAGGACAAATTGCGTAAATTTTTATATTTTGAGAGGCCCTTTCCCTAAACCAGACGATAGAATTTCGTTTTTCTTTCATATAATGAACAATAGAGTATATTTCGTCATATTTTAGAATTTAAGCAAAAGGTCTGTTATAGTAGAGGGTGTTTCAACAAACATGTCCCGACTTTTGATGTCTATATTTTTGCACGATAATAAAATATTTACAAAATTATAACTGTATTTTATAGCACATTTTCCGGCAATATAATTGTGATATAACAATATAAAATAACTTCATTATATATTTTCCATTGAAGTTTCGATTACATCTTCAAAAATCAGGTTGTCAGTTTTTTTTTTCCCCTCCAAAAATGGATCTATGGATGTTTTGAACTAATGAACACAAAAGGAAATCTCCAAATCACCAGTACTAGTGCATAAGATTTTGAAAAAAGAAGTACTCATATGAAAACCATCTTTCTAGGAAACAGACTTTTAAATGATGTCAAAATATAAGCCATACAGGACTTCAGAGACCAAATGAGGATGCTGACTTAAAAACGTTGTGGCTTTTTTGAACACATATTAAAAGGACGTTAAATTGAAAACTGCTGCTGAAGTTCAAACTTTGAAAATGCCTTTTTTTTAAAAAAAATAATTGATTCAGCATCACTCCAACTTTCATATTGATAAAATTGTTTGGTTATGTGGTTTTCATTTTTGCAAAAATTTTCTTACATTGATACTGTCTAACTTTATATTGAATCTGCAAAGTCGGGACAAGTTTGCTAAAACACCATGTATTTGTAAAATTTGCTTTGAAATTCGAAAACTAGCACTTTTCCATATAATCTTTTAGTTAATGAACCTGTATTTTGAGACGATAATGAAAATACCCAGACGATAGATTTCGCCTTAACTTGCATGTACACCAAGGTCAATGTAAGTTACACTTTTTATCAAGTGCCATTCTCTGCAATGACTTTAACTTTTATATAGGAGCTGTGGCACGCATAGTCTCAGAATTTCTCCAAACTCTCTGATAAAAGTCTTTGATACCGTAAACTCAAATCAGGCAAAAATTGGTTGCTACGTATCATGGTTACCATAGCAACATGTCCTAAAGTTTGAAAAATGGCATTTTTCAACATGTTTAGAGTCCCACAGTTAACGTTTGCAGCAAAGCAAACAAGGGGCAATGACTGTTTCTGAAAGTTGAAGGCCTTATGTCTTAAATGCATGATAAACATGTTTGGTAAATCGACTATTACATACGATACTATGGAAACAAAGTATTCAAAAGTAATAATTTTGTTCATTTAATTTTATAATGTCATACACTTAAGAATAAAAACAATTATAGGTTGAAATGCAAGCAAATAATAGACAAGAGATCCTTATAAAATATACCAAGGGCGAAATATAATATTTTTTATAGGTTGTTGATGGTTGCCATGGTTTTAATACCACAAAGTTATTTTAAATTTACTTTTTCAGTGTTTTAATCTTATCCTATCCTTTTAAAAAGCATATTTCTGTATAACTGATGATCAATTTTCAAAGGCGCTGAGGTGACCCTAATTTTCACATTTCAAAAAATTCAAATTCAATTCTTTAAATTGAGCGTTGCTATGGAAATTAGCCGAAAAATTATGCATAAAAATCTAAAAAATATAATCTTTTATGATTAATATTTATGAACAACTAACCCGACTTTCAATTTTGACTACCACCCAATCTCTAACTGGATGCAAAAAGCTGGCACATACATGTAGGATTTAAGATTGATATAAAAGTAACAAAATCGAACATTTTCCCTTCTTGGTAACCATAGCAACAGTGTTGTATTTTTCAACAAACTTTATCAATATATGATATTCAACTTTAGTTCTACCAGATAAGTACTGTTCAAGGTGAGTCAAATAATATGTTTCTTGATTAAAAGCTAAGAAAATTCCTAAAGCAGCAAAAAAATATCACTTAAAAAAAACTGGTACGCTGTTTCCATGGTTACACTGCAAAGTAACAATTAATCCCAATATTTCTTATGTTGTTGGTGTTGCAAGATCCTAAGGATGTATATGTGTCAGTCATGAATTTTATTGTTTTTCCTCAAGATAGTAGCATTAACCCAATCTTAGCAACAGATTTTGCATGGTTACACTGTGTTACCATGGCAACCATGAAAGTTATTTTAATAATGATATTGCCAATACCTAATTACTTAAGGTCAAATATTTTTATTGTTTTTCTTTGGTTGATTGTTGATCGAGTTTGATCATGTAACATCTATCATTAGTGAATATTGAGCGGTTTTCAGCATTTTTCAGCATCTAAAATGTATTCCAAATGTACCCATGGTTACCACTTACTTAGAGATAAATTCTAAATAGTTTGTTTATAGCATAAGTGGCAACAAGGTGTCATGTTTTTTGTGAGAATAGTTTGTTTGTTTTTCTTAGTCTTTATTAAGGCTTAATAAAGATTCAAAGTAGCTGAAAATCTCAATTTTTTTCAACTTTTCTGGCTGTTACCATGGCAACCAAGACACATAGCAACGAAATTTTATTTGATGTATGTTTTTGGTGTCAAGTTGTAATAGTGGGCAAAGTTTCTTCAAAATCGGTGACCATGCGTGGCAAAGAAGTTTAAGTGGTTACAGAGAATTGCTATTAAATTGAAGTTTTTCTATTGCAGTGTTCACATAATAAAACCCCAATTGGCTACCTAAAACTAAAATTATTTTTAAAAAATCGTAAATTGATGTAAAAAGTTCATTTTATTTTTAACTTTACCCGTTACACTTATGAAATACTAGATCAATATGATCATACAATCAACCATCTCACGATGTGAGATACCAAAAAGCGAGATCAATGATTCCGAAAAGTTGACAGAGTTGAATGTGTGCAACTCTTTCCCACTCAAAAGATCTTTATAGGTGATAGAACCATGTATTCCACTTACATTTATATCAAATCCAAAACTGAATGGAGTTCGTTCAGTTAAGGGAGACAACAAATCGAGTTTAATCTGTTGTTCGTTTCTGAAGACTATGTATACAGCATCTGTGTCACAATGTGTTACCATATTCCAACAGTGTGCAATTTCCTTTTCAAATCTAGCATTTCTTTCGTCGCAAAAAAATAGACCAAAGAAAAAGTCTTTAATTGCGCATGCCTTTTTGAATTCGTACCGCAAAATAAAAAGCAGTCTGAACTCTTCTCCCCGTAATATTTTTCTGTTGGCTTCAGCTTCTCCGTGTTGCTGTAATGTGTGTCCAAATTGTCTAACCACAGCTGATGAAAACATGGCATTGCTGATTATTTTCTTGTTTTTTGAAATATAGATTCCTTTCACCGATGACAAATCAAAATCTACACTATCTAAAATAAAAAAGAAGGTAAAGAAATTAAAAGTGAATTTTGTGGTCCTTATAGTCAAGTTATTCCTCTTAGCCAAATTATTGAACAATACTCCGAAATATCAGTATGAAACTATAAGCTTAACGGCGAAGCTGGCATACCTCAAATGGAGATTGCAAGGAGTAGAATTGATATTGTACATGTAACCAGCTGAATAACATTAAATGTATATGTTAATAAGCATTAGTAAGGGCATTATAGGTAAAGTATTATAAAAGAAAACATTTACAATGATAAAGGAAGGAAATCAATGATTTTCATTTTTTAAACAGTTAGATCTCAGAAAAACGTTGGACAGTTATTGATAGCAAAATCCTATATATCATTAAGCTAAAACGTGATTTAGATTTTGCATCGGCATATAGCCTTGCTCAAAATCGAATTGTATTCAATGTAAACTGCATGCATTTAATAAGAAGAAAGCAGTTTAGCTTGATTACATCTTTAAAGTCTTCCTTTGGAGAATGACAGGTCATAAATGATAATAAATTGAAAAACCTCAATTTTTATGAAAAACTTAAAGCTTGGAATGCAAAAAATTGAACTGATAATTCAAACTTTACTTTTACTAGATTCTTATTTGGGGCCAAATCATACTCTGAAAGATTTCCTTATATTTCACTTAATACTTCTGTTTATCTTATACCCAAATGGTGTTTAGGCTAAAAATGTAAATTGAATCAATACAGCTTGTACAATAAAATATACTTTTTGTATGGTTTGTGTTTCCCTTATAAGTAAACGCAAATGCAATATCTATAGATAGTTGGTGCCAATTGAAAACGTTTTACAAGTAAATTCCATCATTGAGATAACGTGGTATTATACACATTGCATGTAGTTGCTCCTCTTATTCAACTATTGTAATTCATTAAACATTCATTTAAAGTAGGCAAATGGTAATGAATAACTATTTAGATTTAATTCAAAGCTGATTAACTCGCTTGATCACATTAAAGAAATGAATATTACTAAACAAGTCCATTGCTACGTGGTTATTCCAGATGGCGTAGGAAAATTCTATTTTGGTGTCGCCTACAGAGCCGGTGTCTAGCTGTCCGTCCGTCTGTCTATTCATCCGTCCGTCACACTGTATATCTTGAGAAGTGTAAAAAGTATTGATTTGACATCCTCGTGGTCTATGAACTCGACCTTTGACCTACTTTTTAAAATAAATAATTGTGCCAATATACAGCATATGTTGACATTTGAGAGGCTAATTATGCTATTTATCGTGTGGACTATTTGACATAAAACTTCATGAAAATTACCAGTGTTACAATTCACTACACTTTGACCTTTGACCTACTATGCAAAAAGTACTTCGGGCGATTGATTAAACTTGTGTCTCTTTTGATTTTGTGAGGCGGGGTTTTGATATTAGCATTAATATTCCATGTTTAAGAGCTCATGACATTGTGCTTTGAGACTGTGTGCTATATAGTAACCACACACATTGAAAATTAAATACAATGAAAATACATCGGGATAGGTATACCAAAAGAATCGTTGTAGACTACTGGAATAAAGAAAACTGAATCTCTTTTGGGGGATAGTTGGATTAAACACATACTTATCATGTTTTTAAATGAGCAAACATTCTAATATGTAAATTCGATTTCATTATCACTTTAGCTTTGAAGGGTTGGGAATGATTAACATATTTCTATTTTAATGTCAGCTTTTAAATGACAAATGCTATTCTATCGGTCTTATTGTTCATGGATGTTTTCCTTGCTTTTATAAGTGATGATAATGCTAGAGGCAAACAAATAACTGACAAACCTTCGATTTATTATTATTTTTAATGATGCTATAAAGCAGGCGACATATGTGTTTCTTTGAACACGCTAGTTATTACTAATAGTTTACTCTAGGGTTTTGATTAATACATGTCTTAGAGTCAGGGCTTCATGTAGTGTTTTTTTTTTTTCAATTAAATTGTTTCAAACAGGAATATGTATGCATGATTTATATATTGATGTAAGCTGTGAAGCAACAGATTTCATAACAATCATACAAATAGATTAAAAAAGACATACTGTAATCTAGCGAACTCATATTTTAGCGCAATCCTCGAGCTCCTCTTCAACTGATAAGAGCAATGAGAAATTAGCACCCCTAAGTCTTTGAAAAGGTCAAATATGAGTTAAATTCATGTATTTTTGCACATTCTCACACAACAAGAAATAAATCAACTATTACGCAGCCAGGAATGAAGTTATTTTCACCCAATAGGGAAACTGAAAAGTTATCTGACATATGATCTATTTCTTACTGCTTGTGGTAAGAAAAGGATTTAAATATAAGATATATGTGTACAGCGAAAGTTGAAGAAACAAGTTGAACAAAAATCCTGTTTACCTACATGTAGTTGTACCAAATGAAAGTGTTAAGTGTCCCTTATCTAAAAAAGTAAGTGGTTTTCTTTGTTGTTTTGGAGTTTTAATAAAGATATCATTGTTTTATTTAATGACAAAAAGATCCCACTCCATTATTCCACTCCACAAATTACATGAAGCCTTCTTTTTTTAGGAAACAAAGAAAAGTTTTTTTTTCTAGTGCAAATAAATATTTACAAAAATATAACACATGCAAAGCAGTCGAATTCTCGCTTATGTAGTACTCGATTCCTATGATACCGGTGGTTCTACGGTACCGAGGTATCCCTTTATATATAAATTTGTTCTCTGTTGGCGACACTCAGCGGCCAGATATTTTTAGAAAAATATTGGTGATACCTTGTCATTACTATCGCTTTAGATCTTAAAATGTTGCAAAGCCTAGTAAGTATCAAAACAACATTAAATGGTCACATTTTTTAAACTTTACCTGTAACAGTTTTCATACCCTATAATGTAAAAACGTCACAAACTGTGAATTTATAGATGTATTTTACAACTGATTGGCATATCTGTTGTCGTCTGGCTTATTTACATTTAGAATGAGTCATGTGACTGCTGTGGAAAGTTAAATATGAAACACAGTTTCAGCAATAACTAGTAGACTAATTGTTCTCGAACAATTAGAGGTCTTTCCACCTTCTTTAAATTTCATATATTCTTCATATTTAACTCTCCTCTGTTTATTTTTATACAAAAGAAACCAGAAATGGCTTGAGAGATGGAAAAAATGAAAAAAAAAATTTAAAAATTGAAATGACCTTGACCTTTGACCTTGAACAAATATTCAATGTCAAAGGTCAAGGGTCATATTGCACTTAACCCTATGCTTCTATGACTTTTAGTTTTAAAGTTATAAGGTTTATAAGTAAGCGCAAAGACGTTAAAGGGCGATAACTCATATAAGGGGTCATCGGATACTTTCGCACTGAATAGATTGAAGTTGTGCCTAAAGACCCTGAATACATTAGTGAAGGTTTCATGTCTCTGCGGTTTACGGTTTCGGAGGAGTAGCGATAACAAGGTTTTTTGCACAAGGGGCAATAACTTTTAAAAGGGTTAAGCTTAGGGGACAAGATTGAAATCTTTGAAATTGTTTTAAAAGTACATATTAAAGATGCAAAGGTATACTGTATATGTTGAAAGACAAGAGAGCTATAAAAAGAGTTTTATTTCTCATATTTGGAATGACCTTGACATAAACTTCAAGGTCTAAGGTCAAAAAATCTAATCCAATTGGTTTCATTTCTCTACGACTTATCGTTTTGAAAATTTTAAATTATTTGTAAACTTCAAAAACTTTCAGGGGCAATAACTCATAAAAGGGCTTAACGAATCCTTTCGTAATGAATAGACTGAAGAGTATTCTCAGTTAGTCGAAGACATTGGTGAAGGTTTCGTACCTCTATGGTTCACGGTTTCGGAGGAGTAGCGATAACAAGTTTTCTAGCAAAAGGGGCAATAACTGCGAAAGGGGTCATAGGTTATATGCGTTGGGTCAAATTTGTTCATTACTTTTTATGACCTTTACGATGAACAAAAAATCTTTTCGATAAATGTTGAAACAAAAAATCAGCGGAAGAAAAATAATAATAAGAAGAAGAAGAATAACTAGTAGACTAATTGTTCTCGAACAATTAGAGGTCTTTCCACCTTTAAATTTCATATATTCTTCATATTTAACTCTCTACTCTTTATTTTTATACAAAAGAAACCAGAAATGGCTTGAGAGATGGAAAAAATGAAAATTTTAAAATTTTGAAATGACCTTGACCTTTGACCTTGAACAAATATTCAAGGTCAAAGGCCAAGGGTCACATTACAATTAACCCCATGCTTCTACGACTTTTAGCTTTAAAGTTATAAGGCTTACTAGTAAGCGCAAAGACATTAAAGGGCGATAACTCATATAAGGGGTCATCGGATACTTTCGCACTGAATAGATTGAAGTTGTGTCTAAAGACACTGAATACATTAGTGAAGGTTTCGTGTCTCTGCGGTTTACGGTTTCAGAGGAGTAGCGATAACAAGGTTTTTCGCACAAGGGGCAATAACTTTTAAAAGGGTTAAGCTAAGGGGACAAGATTGAAATCTTTGAAATAGTTTTAAAAGTACATATTAAAGATGCAAAGATATACTGTATATGTTGAAAGACAAAAGAGCTATAAAGAGAGCTTTATTTCTCTTATTTGGAATGACCTTGACCTTTGACCTTGACATAAACTTCAAGGTCTAGGGTTAAGGAATCTAATGCAGTTAGTTTCATGTCTCTACGACTTATCGTTTTGAAGATTTTTCATTATTTGTAAACTTCAAAAACTTTCAGGGGCAATAACTCATAAAAGGGGTTGACAAATACTTTCGCAATGAAAAGATTGAAGAGTCCCCTCAATTAGTCGAAGTCATTTGTGAAGGTTCCGTACCTCTACGGTTTATGGTTTCGGAGGAGTAGCAATAACAAGGTTTCTATCAAAAGGGGCAATAACTGCGAAAGGGGTCATAGGTTATACGCGTTGGGTCAAATTTGTTCCTAACTTTTTATGACCTTTACGGTCAACG